TATTCGATCGACTCAAAAAACCACTACGAGGAACTCATTTTGAGAGTGTGGAGGCAATAAAGCTAAAATCGCTGGAGGCACTAATGGCTATACCAAAAACCGACTTCCAGAAAAGCTTCGAGGGGTGGATCAAACGCTGGCANAAGTGCATCGCAGCCGACGGGGACTACTTTGAAGGGGACAACTTGAATTTTGAAGAATAAACATGTACTTTTCTTTTTATGAATAAATTCCGGTTATTTTTTGATCATGGTAGTATGTTTGAGAATTGAGCCAATAAACGTTGTCGTGAAATCCAACGCAACGTGATCGACAGTGTTTACAGTTTTTGTAAGACGCTTATAGAATGCGTTCCGTTTCATCCATATGCGCGCATTTATTCATAGTACACGTTACGTATATTATAGATCATGCGCGCATATGCATGAAACGGAACGTGTTCTATATTTTAAATTGCTCTGGATGTAAGATAAAAACAAAGAAAAAAGAGGTTTTCTACACTTTTAAAATCGAGTGTTCGGGAGTTTAACACCAACAACCATGCAGAAGTTCATTCAAGTACATTCAAAGAACAGATCTTATTAAAATTCGATGATTTTTTTATACTTAATAATAAGACACTAGATTAGAACCAAAACAAAACTATAATTACAACAGATTATATTATTCACATTTACTTGTCGACCGATATATTTATGACAGAAAATGATTTTCCTAAAGCACTCAAACGTGCTTTTATNAAATATAATGCATCAATACTATCTTCAGTTTACGTTGAACGTTCAGTGCAGGAGGACTCGTTTTTGAGGAATTTTTTTAATCTTCGAGGAATAATGTCAGATAAAAATTTCAAAATGGCTTTATTACTTAAATTTAATAAGTTTTTGTAAACAAAATAATAAATATGAAAAAATAATATATATATCTGTCGACAAAAAATATATATTTGTAGAAATATATCTATAAATATATCTATTTATCTATAAACAAACCAATGTATCAAAACAATGTGTTTCTATAATTTCTAAAATATATACAGTTGCTAAAATATACAAAAAGTATATTTCTAAATTAATTATTTAATATGTATAAAGTACACTGAGAAAAAAAAGTTGGTGAAGTAACAAAATAGTATTCGATTCAACTATATGCAGCGGTCACGGGCTGTCAATAAAATATTGATTAATGTAAGAAGATATCATGTTTCAATAGATATAATAATTAGATTATACCGAAAGACAATTTATAGTTGTTTTAACAAAATTATAATTTGCTTAAATACAGGTAACTTTGAATGTACAACACAATAGGACAACAATATTTTGTCTGCTTATAAAAATAAGCAGTTTGATTAAATGAAATACTTAGTACAAAGAAATTCAGATTATATTCAATTAAAGTAAATGAGAATTGCCTATTTCATCTTTTTCAACAGTATCTTTTATTTGAAATTATCACAACTTATGTTCAACAAAACAATTCATGGTTTAGTGAATTAAATATGTTTATTACACTATTGTTAATTCAACTTATACGAATTTGTTATCTTTATTACCATATGCTTGAATTAGAAAACCAAGTATTTCAGATAACAAACTGAAACTTAACTAAACGCATTTAGTTGAGTTAATAGTATTTTTTTCTCAGTGTATATTTATAAATTAAATGTATATTTATTAATTTTATTATTTTTGTTATTTGTAAGACTAAAACACTGAACTCATGAAAAGAAAAATTTAACTTTTAACTTCTTAATTACTTTTTTTATTAACTTAACTTTTAATCAATTAATTTTATTATGGGTTAACTTGTATCTTAACTAAATTACATTTTCAAGGTCTTTAACTTTAACTTAACTTAGTTAAAAAAAAAAACTTAACTTACCCAACTCTGCAGAAAACGCATTACGGTCGAATAAATGTCTCGCAAATCGTCATCGGGTGGCAAATATTTTCGATCGTTTCTCGCGAACGTTACGTCAGTTGACATCGTTCTTGTTGAACAAACGAGTGTATCGTTCGAATACGTGATTGTCGTACGATACAAATCTACAAAATATGTCGTTGTTCTTTGTAGCCCGAGTCGACGGACAAAGAGCCACATCTTTAATACATTCCGAACAGTACAAAAGCGCGTCTCGTTTCGACGATTTTTCCGTCAATGTTTTGTTCGTTGTTGCCATTGACCCGTTGACCGTCTTGGTCATCTCGTCGCGTAATCAAGAATACCAGAGGTGCAGACAAATTGCGAAACGCTCGTTTGGTCTCGTTGAACGCGTACACGTCGTTAGATGAGTGGTACGATCGAAGAGGTTAGGTCACGCCTCGATCTGCGTTCTAACAATCCGATTTCAACGAAGTCGCGATAATCGTGCACCAGTCGATTCAAGTCTTTGTATTTACAGGGCGATTCAGTACCGCGTTGGCCGACACTTCGTTGTGACGAAGCGCTAATGTGACATCGATAAAACTCGCGCGTTTGATCTCGTCTCGTAAATTCGCTACGTACGTAAAATAATCGCGACCACCGAAATGTTCCCAGTGAGACGCGCATTTTTGACACCATATGAAAAAACTCAAATTGCGCATAAATACGAGGAAGCGATCTATGTAACGATTTGTTCGAAATACGCTCAGAGCTGCTAAAATGTGCAAAACGATCCATAGCAATTGCGACGTTCCGTGTTGTCACACCGCCCCTCGTGGAAGGTGCACGGGTTCTATCGTCACTCCTCGAGTCGTGCGAAATTCGTTGACGAATTTTGGCTGTCGATTCGTAACGGTGCACCGATGGCGCGTACATTACATAACATACATTTCAAAAGGATTGACACCGACAATCGGTGGTCTGTTCGATCGACGAATCAATGGATCGATCGCTAAAACGTGTTGCATTGTAACAACATCGCCTATGCACAACATATCGAAACACGACTCGTGGCACTGTTGACACGCGACTCAATTTGGACCCGACGTAAGATAGTCGACACAATACCTGATCACTACTGCTCGAATTCAAGTTAAATTATTCAAAATCATTATTTTAAAAAGCAAAAACTAAATTTTGTTTTTTATTGTAAAGGAAGTTTTCAACTGTAAGATATAGTTTTTTAAGTATTTTAATGCAAAATCTTTATTGCAAAAAACGACTTTAAACATGTGAATAGTAAGTAACCTATAGACAATCAAGAAGAACAGCTTTTTACCAATCACGATTTCTTCCAATAGACAATCGGATTACAAATAGAATTATAGTAATTATAGATAATTATGAATAATAGAAAAAAAAGGATAAAACTATATATTTATTTTTGGTTTAAGTTACAAATGTCTTTATAACTTGTTTTATTATAGTTTTAATAAGATAATAGTAACTTTTTATAAGGTTTTACACAGTTGAATGAATATGTCAAATTAACTCTAATATCAAGAACTTTACATACAATAAATTTTTTATAACATAATATCATTTTTTAAATAAAATCATTTTTAAGTTTTTTTAACAACTAAAAAATTAAGGCATTAAAATGTAGCATCAAATATCACATTAAAATGTAGGGTTATTACATTAATCTTTGATTAGTTACAAATCCTTAATTTTTTATTTTTCTTCTTTTGAAGTTCTAATTCTCTCTGTTTCTTTTATTTTCCATCTTTTCTTCTTCTTTTTTTTTTTTTTTTGCTGTTGTATTAACCTTTGCTTTTTTTCTTCTTGTTGCTCTTGCTTAATTTCCTTAGCAGCTTCTTGTTTTAGTTTTTTTGCTCTCGAATAGCTTTAGCTGCTTGTTGTTTCGCCATCATCTTTTCTTTATGTCAATTTTTCTTTCCCATGAGCAATCTATATTGGACCACTAATCGATGGCAATTCTTTTTTTTTCTTAGCAGTCTCAATTTTTTTGGGGGGTCTAGTTCTGACTAGAAATGCAAATTTGCAAGTTCAAGTGAAATATTTTCTTCACTCTTTATTTGTTTCTCATCTTCATGCAAAGTTATCGTTAATAAGTTATCTTTTCTCGAATTATCAGAAGCATTTTCTTTATTTTGATTTACTAATTCTTGATTGGAAAGTGCAGTCAATAAAACTGTAAGATCCTTTGATGCATCTGTATCGAGTGAATAGTAGGGCTGCGGTTATTCGAATAAATAAGAATCCGGATATCCGGATAGTGACGTCATCGATTATTCGTAATCCGGATACTTCGAAGTATCCGGATTTCGAATAGCTGGGGAACGAATATTCGGATATTTGTACACTCCGAATAAAACGGATAGAACAAT